AATGTGATATTTTTAAGGAGACATTTTAGTGTAAATCCAATCAGGCAAATGGAAATTCGCTTAGTCTGCAGGTTTGCTGCGGCGGGGGTATTTTTTATTATGTTACCATTCCAGATGTACACCTAAAACTGCTTTCTTATGACTGTTCTGTGTTGTCAGTACATCTACGTGCTGCACTCTGTAGGTAAACCTTATAACTTTTTAAAGCTATTGTAAATCATAGAACCAACTTTTTTAGTTGAAACAGCTGACTAAATTCTTTAATTCCCTTTAAATATGAATACTCATAAGGTTAACATGGGGAATTACAGAGCCACTAGGGCGGAGCCCGAAAGGATTTTTAAGATAAGAATATGCCTATATGTTAATCGGGAATGTAAGCTATCATCATGCCAAATTTCAGCCCAATCCGTCCAGTGGTTTATGAGTGATTGAACTTCAAACACACAAACAAACAAACACACAAACTTTCACATTTATAATATTAGTAAGATAAGACAATAGTTGAAAGTTATCATTTTAAATATGGTCGAGAATGTACAACACCCAATTTCATTTGTGTTTTGAGCATTACAACTATAATATTTTTGTCTCTTGTTGAGAAGTTTGAAAAATTCTTTTAAATTTTGTCTTTTAATTTCTATTCTATGATTTTATCAAACATTAAATACTAAATTAAACATACCTATGAGCTACTAAGCACCTAGCACATGCCAACATCACATAAAGTATACCTGTAAGAAGAGATAGCTGTTGGTATTATGTTGTAGCGTAATTTGCACCATATGTTGGCGTTGGCATGGTCTGTTGTACCTGAGTCCAGGAAGTACGGCTGACAGGATGTAAGATCGGTGATCCATTGTCACTGGCCTCATTTGCCACGGTCAAACTTGCGTTACGATTCATTACATCCACAGATTTAAAAAGTGTGGGAGAAAAACTGATTAGTATTTTTTGTGCGTAGAAATACAATTCACTTTCACTAGTAAGAACCAAATCAGGGATATTTGGTATGCTTTTGATAAATATGGTATAAAGGTTATGACAATGAATAAAACTATTAGAGTTCAAAAATAAAAAAATAGGTACAAAATAATAATAATGTAATTATTAGGTAAAACAGTTTTAGACTTTTAAAATGAATGACTACAGATTTAATAAGAATGTGCTATTATAAGCTTTTTGGAAGAAACCGGTAATAACTACAATTAATCCATCTTTGATTAACCAAATGTTGAAAACTGTTTTATTACAAGAACCAAGCCTTGAAACATTGTTTTATGAAGATCACACTTACAATTTGTGATCACTTCTCCAGGTTGTGAAGAGCTGAATCAACACGGTACATTAAATATTGTAAAAATGGATAACTATAATTTTATTTTGATCAAGGAATTCAAAAGTTCTAAGCCATATTACATGTCATTACAGTGTACAGGATTTAAATTGGACACTTAAATCATGGATTAGGCCTAAACATACTCCTTTGGTAGCAGTAGTATCTGTTTTCCTTCATCATAATTTTCTTGTATGGATATAGTAAGACAAAATATGAAGATGATGTTGTATGCATAACCATACCTGGGACACTGTGTAAGTGTTGCAGTGTAAAACGCCGAGCACAGCCACATGATCTCAGGCCTAGTCCCCCGATATGTCACTCCAGCACAACCATTGCAACTCCACATGCTACTAATAAAAAATAAAAATTCTCGATATAAATAGAAGGTGTATATTTCTATTTAGGTACACTTGTAAGCATGGGCTGAAGACAATTTCAATGTTAGTACCTCTCTGTAGTAGTCTGGTTCCTCTAGGGGCATGTTTTATTGTTATTTTAATTATTTAAAACCTTCTTTGATCAGATAAAAGAATCTAATCATATACAATAGCTTATCGCCTGGTGAAAAAACCAAAAAGTAAAGAGTTATAAATTCATCATTACAGATTTACTAGATTGATAGAAAGGTAAATAAATTATTCAAAAAATATTATAAATAAACTTTAATATTTGGTTTCTAAAATATATTTATAATTTGTATAACAAATAAAAGCATTGTTTAACACTTACTTAAAACAATTCAAACAAAACAAAACATACAGTCTAGAAAAACACATAAATTATGTACGAGCTTCATTTACAGCAACCTTTATGTAGCAGAGACTACTGTATGCGTGATACAGATGATTTTTAATTTTTACAACATATAACTGTGAGAAAAATATCATAGGGTAAATCGATGTAAAATAATTGTGTTGTTCATTTACACAAAACTGTTTGAATGTCTAATAAATAGGTAAAACTTGATTAAATAGAGGATGGTAGCACAAAAATTGCAAAGTTTTATAATAGGTACATACTTCTACAGTAAGAGAATTTAAATTCATATACATACTTGTAAGATGTAGGCTAATTTTATTATAATTGCTATTACAATAAATTAAATAAAAAGGTATGGACAAACTAAATAAAACCTTATATACATATTATCATTATGCCATTCTTTTCAAATCGTCTGACTCCAAATTTTGTACCATTTATTCATATCACATAGCACATAGCAAGATTATAAGTTTAATATCACAAAACACTAAAACGCTAGAGTAACGAAGAGTGATCTTGCCTACTAGCATTTAAAAAGACAATTACACTATTGTCAAGCTAAAAAATGTGAGATGTTGTAAAACAATTTTTTTAACGAAGAATCAGGGCTTATTACATAATGTTAGGAAATAATTTTTTGTAGGAGTTAACTTACGATTAAGTGTACCTCATCTAAAAAAATAACTCCAGGAAGCCTATTTATTATTTAAGAGGTACTGAGCCTATGGAACCTATTTGTCTGAATGAATTAATAGTTTAAAAAATATACACTGTTGTTTAATAAATAACATTTAAAAAGTTCCTTCAGATCTATGATTAATTAAGAAAGCTACTACTGTAAAACCAAAGGAAATGAAGAAGAAACACCTGAGAAAGGGTGAAATTTTTGGAAATATACATGTTGCTGAAATGTGACAAACTAAAAGAAGGGGTGGATTTTTTGTGTAAATTGTAAATAGCCTGAAGTATATTAATATCAATTCATAGTCTAAAGTACACAATACAATGTTAAAGTTGAAAGAATATTTTTTACAGTATTGTATCAAATCAATTAAGTGGGGCCCGAAAACCTGACTGGAACTTCAGTAAACGTGTATTCTTTATAAGAACCACATAAAAACCCACATAGAGCACCTCAAACTGTCATTATTTTATCTTCTTTTTTCATACAAGGGAATTCATTTACGTACTTTGTATGCTTAATTTACCTTCCCAATACATTTACAAACATGAGAAAACACTAGGAAGAATAATTGCTATTGGACACAAATTGATTTAAATTGGACATGATTTAAATGTTTTTTTTAATTTACAAATATAAATATAATTTGATTGAATTTTCAACAACAAAAGCAGTAATTTTGTTTGATGAAATAAGACATAATAGGTTTCCTCATAAGTTTTATTTTGATTGTGATAGTATTTACAAGACACTGGAAAGGTTATGCTATTTATAATGTTTTATTTTATTTAATGAGCTTTGGTCAAAAAATTATTGTAAGTTCTGTTAGGGAATCAGGATTTGAATTGTTATCATGAGTTAAGATCTTGACTTTAGATATATGGACATAATGTATACGATAAAACATTGTTTGAAAAAATCTGAGTTGGAACATGTAAGGAAAGGATTTTAAATGGTGAATGTTAAGAAAACTGGTTTTAATACTGGATTAGGAAAATATTGGTTTTGCTTTTCCGAGTCGGTTCGGCTCTTCTACTTGACCGATTTTCATAATTTTGGTTTAAAGGTATGCACGCACAGATTTGCCATCAAGCATTGGCATTTATTTATCTGACATGTATTTCGAGTTACTCACAAAAGCAACTTCCTCCCTGTGCATTTCATATGAGAGTTAAATTTGGTTTGTCTTTTCCGAGTTCGTTTGGCTCTTCTACCCGACCAATTTTCATCATTTAAGTCTTAAATTAAAAGTGTGCTTGCACAGATTTGCCATCTAGCGTCATAATTCATATCTACTGTATTACTAAAATAACGTAAATTAATTTTTTTTTAATTCTTACTTTAATTGAAGATCTATATCACCAGTTATAATTACATTATCCTATATATATTTGGTTAAAGAACCTTCAATGAAATACCAGCTTTCATTTGAGCTATTGATTATTAAGATGTGGGTACATGAAGCACACTGCTGAATCACAAATCAACAATAATTATAATTATTTTAGGACTTATCTGCAATCAATGATACGTAAACTTTTACGTTACTTTATATATCTTGGTCTTAACCCTTAGAGTGCCAGGCGAGAAATAAAAGTAACGCTAAAAAAATGCCGATGATTTTTCCCGAAGGTCGCGCTAAAAATGCGATTTTTAGGTTAAAATTTCGTAAAAATCGAATTTTCGATATTTCGACCAACGAAAATCGATGTATCGCATCTAGTAACTTTCGACTCAATGTTAATATATGGGTTAAAAGAATCCGAGTATCCATTCGGTTGTTATGACAACTGTTCGATCATTACGAAACGTCCGGTCAGCCGGACGTTGGCACTTTTGGCTCGTTCTAAAAACGTCCGGACGGCCGGACGTCGGCACTTTTGGCTCGTTTTCCGGTTCCCCGGACGTTGGCACTCAAAGGGTTAAAATGCTCCTAGAATAAAAATGAAGGCTTTCATTTGAGATAATGATTGTTTGAATCTTGAATCAGTTAAGTTCAAGATATTGTATTACTCAATAAAAAAAATATTTTATTATTACCATTATAGAGAATTTAATTTTAACCCGGGCAAGGCGGGTTTTTCTGCAAGTTATTAACTGTGAAACACCAAAACAAGATTAATTACAGCTGATCATTGTTAATCAATTCATCATAATATTGTAAAAATAAACATTCTATTCTGTTAAAAAAAAAAAAAAAAAATTAATGTATGCTACTGACAATTACATTCACGCTGAACTAAACTATTCAGTGAGAGTGAGAGTTAATGATAATAATTTTTGCTCAGTTTTCATATTGTATAAAATGAGTAAAAACAGCCTTAACAATTCCAATCAGATTATTTTCACCCAGTATACTCTTATGGTGTCCAAAACTTGGGGAGCCTAATGCCAAGTCTAAGTACATGGTTGCAGTTGGATATAGTCAGAGGCAGATTTTTTGGAAGGTTGGATGTGGGAGTTGTAATAGTTCTGTCTAGTTTTGTGATCAAATAGAAAATATTTAATACATCTTTCAAAATATGTCATTACATAACAAGTTAAAGCTTTTTAATATTGTGTAAGCAAAATTACTCAACATTTACAAGGCAGAAATACTGATACTGAAATTTGAAAATCACATTTCCTATACCACAATCTAGACTCATTGGTATCCTTCCAAGAAAAAGTTATTTTAATTTTGACAGCAAAGATCTTAATTAAAAAGTCTTACTCTATCTAATGTTGTCCAATAATATTTAGTTGTTTTCTTTTACTGATTCCAATAATAATAATGTTCCACCACAAGAAAAAACTTGTATATGATTTTAAGATTTTGTAAGCAAAGTTGAGTTAAAGTAATTCATGTTACTATTGATGAGAATTTGTATGCTTAACTGTGGGTAGATTATTTTTCTGTTACTCTTGCATAGTACATCAGTAAGGTCTTGTATCAAATGTAATTTCCTGGACTTAGGTTGTAAATGAATATTTTAGCTTCAAATATTTCCCAGTAATGTTGATTGTAATGGAAACTCTCAAAGGCGGGCAGGAATGCCAAAGGTTTCCTCAATGGTACGTGTTATAACAACTTTCCCTATAAATGATCAAAGTTGGTGGAAGGTTTAGTCGTTGGACTGGGGAGGGTCAGTGCTGAAGTAAGGAGCCGTATCCTTGTCTAGGACTGTGTGGCAGACGTTGCACACCTTGGACGGCCGATTGTTGGGGCCACTCATCACAGTGTGGGATAGACAGTTGGCGCAGAACACCCTGATGCAGTGGCGGCAGTGGTTCTGCAATAACAAGTTTCAATCAGTATTATCTACCTACTGATTGTATGCAAATATACACAGTGCATTACATACAGTTGAAAGGTAATTGACAATATTCAGTAAACTTGTAAAATTGAACATATTTTGAGTAAATGAAACAGCAAAAAAGGTTGTATTTCTTTTAGATTGCCAAATTTTATGTTTAGGGATGTGTCGATTCTCAACACTACCAATTCTTCGATATTGGTATGCATATCGAGATTCAATCATCAAGATACCAACTGACAGTGAATAGGAAATATTTGAATTTGATATTTGATGGACAAAACTCTACATAAAATTGTCTATAAAAACAGTTGCTGCATCTAATAAGCAATAAAAGAAAGGTCAGCGACGTATTTTCTTGCATGAACACACACAAACACTGTTGGACCATTCCAATGTAACAAAGTGCAGATATATTGCACAATAGAAAACTATTCAAGGTCAGGCAACTGGTGATTGCTCACAACTATGATGGTGTGTCAACTCAATCAACTCAGTTTATTTTAAACTTTAACAAGTATGCCGTGGAGTCATGAGGCACCATAATCAACATCAAGTACTATTGATAGTATCATCCAAACTCAGTTCAGTTGAAACGTTAGCAATGATATGCTGTCTCAGAGGTTGATTAAAATGCCCCATGCACTCAGGGAACATTTTGATTTTGCCTGGACTGACGAAAGTTAGGAGGACAAACCTTTTGCCTGTTGTTTGTAAACTGTGTGTGACATCCGTGGCATTCGTCTACATCTTCCAAGTGTTCCCATCTCACCTATACACATAGAGAACAAGTTAGAAACATTCAATAAAGCCTACTTGTAAATCTTGAAATTAAAATGTGGGTTGAGAAAAAAAAGGTTTTTTTAATGTTGTTATTAGGGATGAGTCCATTTTCAAACCCGATTCTCCACACCACTGAATCTTGGATGTTGATATCGGTATCAAGAACCGATCGTCAAGAGTCAGTTATGGAAATGGCAGAAGGTGTCTCCAAAAAAGCATAGAAATAAAATTTTAGTTTATGCGGTCATCCCAAATATGTTGGTGATTTGGATTTGCACAAAGGGCGCACCTAATGCTGGACATATAGAACGCTGGGCTGGAACACTCAATACCGTGGAAGGGATGGCCTTAGTCCTCAACCCCGACGCCAGGGGCGGTATGAGAGAGCTGCAGGAGAAGCTCTCTGAGTCATTCAGCCACCAAACGTACGCTTCACGATCTCTCATGCAAAAACTATATCTGGCGATGGATCACGACTAAACATCACAAAACCATCTAAAACCTGGTAAGTGTGTCACACGATAATGCTTTATATCATTCCTGTAATATAATATATCAGCTGGTTCAAGCTGTTCTCATAACACAAATATTTACTACTGATTTGGAGTGTTTGGATATTTTGATATTCAGGATTTTTCCATCACGGGAGAGGATAAGAATTTTGCCACGATTGCGGGTGATGTTTAGAATTTTGCTGTCATCACGGGAGATGGTGATGATGTCTACACAAAATAACTTCTTGATCAGCATTGTACATGTTATTAAATTTACGGAAAGTAAATATAAGAAACGTCTTATAACATTTAAAAAATATAAATATAGGTCCGTACCAAACATATATATATGGTAAGTGGTAACATCTTATAAAAACACTTACCATCTTTTACGTAAATTTACCGTCTTGTGAGTAACATTATAAGCGTAAATATATTTTTTAAGTGTCATAAGATGTTTCTTTTATTTACTTTCCGTGTCTGTGTCTACACAACTGCGAGAGATTATCAGAGTTTCGCCGCAAATGTGCAAGACAATAATGATGTCTGTACGTCCGCTGCAGATCACTAGACTTTTGCGAGCATCCCAGGAGACGATGATGATTTCTGCACGACTGTGGGTATATTCAGGATTTTGCCATTACCACTGGATACAATGATGATGTCTACAATACCACGGGAGATGGTTAGAAATTTACTGTTATCGTGAGAGACGGTGACGATATCTACAAGAAGATGACGTCTACACGGCCGCTGGAAGTGAATAGGAATTTTGCTGTAATCGCGGGAGACGATGATGGTGTCTACATAACTGTGGGTGGTGATCAGAATTTTGCTGCAACTGCCAAAGACTAATTATATGTTTGAGTGTACAAAAGTCACATAAATAAGGTAAGATCTACAAAAGCAAAAGTAAAAATCTCCTTAAACAGAATGCTGTTGTTGTTCCTACCTGTGTGTCAGCACTACGTATCCTCTCTAACTCCTGTTGCAGGGACTGGGACAACAACACAAAGTCCTTCTGTACAGTCTCCCCGTTGTCTAGCTCTGTCTGTAGGGATGTTACTCTACTGCGAAGCTCATTAACATCATCCTCTAAGAGCCTCTGGAAACACAGCAGATCATCTTGTGACACTTTGTTAACAAGAAATTCAGCTTTACATCGAACTTATGATTTAAGGCTGGACCATAACCAAAGAAAATGGATATACTTTCTTCTGGATTATGTCTAGTCTTAGTCTACATTGGAATTTCTTATCACTGATATAAGAAAAGTGACAGTGATAAACTCATTGAACTAATCTTTAAAAATATTCCATACTTTCTTCTGGATTATGTCTAGTCTTAGTCTACATTGGAATTTCTTATCACTGATATAAGAAAAGTGACAGTGATAAACTCATTGAACTAATCTTTAAAAATATTCCAAGAAATAACTATTTTTAGGAAAGCTTTTAATTTAAAATTGTAAAATATTTTTAATCCTCGGTTTGCTACTGATAACATTTTCTTCAAGTTTTACATGATGATAATTATAATTAGGGACGTGCCTATTCTCAATACCAATTTTTGATACCACTGATACTTGGACACAGGATCAAAAGTAAATTCCAAACCGATACCTGTCAAATCTGCAAAGATTGCATGATCGTGAAATTACCACTTTTTCCAAGATTGCGCATGAGGACCTGGCATGACAACAATGACGTTTTTGTGACTGGGGGAGATGATCATGATGTGTACAAAGGCGCAGGAGATGATCATGTGTACAAAGCCGCGGGAGATGATCAGAATTTTGAGGCTATCATAGGATATTCAGGATTTTGCCGTGACCGAGGAAGACAGTAATGATGGTTTTGTGACTGAGAAAATGTATTCAGGATTTTGCAGTGATCACAGAAGACGATTATTACGCCTCCACAACTTAGGGGAAAGATCACGATATTACCTTGAGTTTGGCTTGATCCAAAATCTCAGGCTGGCTTACCTCTAGATAAGATCACATTTTCTTTTTGATATTTTTTTTATATCTTCTTTTACCGTTAATAGGTTATTTAAATGTGTTGAGAATGGTCTAAACTTTGAATTTGAGAAGCAAAAGAATTTTTTTCTTTTTTGCTGCATTAATATTTTATTACTAGAAAAACACCCAATTACCCAAAATGTATTTATTATGACATTAGGACAGGGGTTGGTGTAGATAACCAATCCAGGCAGAAAAGTTTGTAAGACTTTAAAAAATCGTACAGTATTGGTAGTCAATATTGAGTATTGAGAATCAATTTTTCAGGTAACGGTATTGAGAATTGACACATTTTGGTATCAACACATCACAAATTATAATAGTGACAGAAATATAAAGTCTTTAATCTTAAGAATCTAGGCCTAAAAATATCTAATACACTGAAATTGAACTGCTAGAATTATAAAACAAACATTAAATCATGATTCAAATTATACAATGAATAAATGTATTTTTATTAAAAAGAACAAAAATAATCTAATAAAAAAGAAGGCCTAAAACTTTTAAATAAATTTTTATTACTGTATTGAACATACTTTTGCATGTTTAACATTGTCAAGCTGTGACTTCAGGTCTTCCATTTCCGATCGAATGTTGACTTCTGCATGTTCCAATATCTGAATTCTTTTTTGTTTCTCTTTACGCAACATTTCTTCTTTATTCAGTTGTGTCCTAAAACAATCCTTGCTAATAAAACTGATATAACATTAATTAAAATAATAACAAAGTTTTAGAGGGATAAAACATGTTTTTTTTATAAAAAAAATAGGCCTATTAAAAATCATAAAAGAAATATGGGTATTGACTTTAATCTGGTATTTGTTGTATTTACACCAACAATAGTTTTTGTGTGCAAACGGTACATAAACCGTGGTATCATAATTATCTGAAGTAACTTAATAGAAAGTGTAAAAAACATGAATTTACTTTATTTAGGGTAGGAATACTGAAGAAGTTCTGTTACAAGTTAGGAATAAAAACTTAATTGGTTTACGCCGTTTACGGTAACTAAATAAACCACCAAACATGTTTTCTGGATTTGCATTTACAAGAACACTACTTAGGTGTTATAGCCTAAATACTAATTATCGATAAACATCTATCCTGGGAGGGCCATGTAAATTAGGTGGTTAAAAAGGTATCTTCCGGTATCCATGCTCTGCGACAGATGTCCAGAATATGCAGTTTAGACACTCTAAGAGTTGTTTACAGGAGACTCGCTCTTATCCGTACTCCTCGGGACCGAGGCCAGTCCGGATAGCGGTTATTCTGGTTAAACCGACGTCACTAAAAACTCGTTAAAACGGACCGTTTACTGTGATATTCAACTTAAATTTAGGAGAGAATTTTATTAAGACACGTGATCACTGGTATAAAATCTTTCCCACGAGAACAGTCATTTCAGTACCGCCCACTTCCTGCCGATCTAATCCGGTTAAACCAATGTGCTGATAAAATTTTTCCGATTAAAGAGATGTCATTTCTGCCGAGTGTAGTCCGGTTAAACCGATGTCCGGATAAGAGGGAGACAACTGTGTTTCTCATTACTACATTCACATATTTCATATGGAATTGATCTATATGGAGCAACAACAAAAACTAATTTAGATAAAATCATTAAGCAGAAAAAAGCTATCAGGGTAATGAAAAAAGATCTTAAAAAGAAAGAGCCAGTCAAGAGCATCTGTCGTGAATTACAAATATTAACAGTTTATAGTCTTTACATTTATGAAGCAATAATTTATGCAAAACAGATCCAACTATCATCCACCTCAACAGAACAATTACTAAGGCTATCCAGAAAGTAAAGAACATTTCCTTCTGACACCGCTAGGCACGTGCCAATCTCGTACATTTTGGTGCGTGCGCACGTTCGGCAACTCAGTTGGCGTCCAGCCATGACAAGGGGAGCATTCTTGCGCTGCCCGTTTTTTCACATTTTCAACTTAAGATGAGTGCTGCGATTAAAAATCCTGCCAGTTAAAAGGTGCGGTCAGTGATACGGTTTTTGTTGGCAAAAAACTTAAAACCTATAAACATTTATAGCCAAGTTTGTGAAGTTTAAGAAAACAACGTAATGAATGAAAGTTCTGAGAAAGTGGTGCATTCAGATTAAAAATGGTCAATCTGACGCTCATGAGTCATGACGAAGCGAAGGGCGGACGCCCGAAACGCCGGAATGATGGAACTAGTCGCTAAAGTTGATGAAAAGGTTTGAGAAAAGCACCGATTCCCGATAACGGAGCTTTCGCTTTGTTGTGTGACAATTTTAAACAACAATGTCCGTGAAACTTGAGCAGAAGTTTCTGTTTTGGTTTTAAGTTTTTTTTCTAACAAAAACCATATTACTGACCGGTCCTCTTAACTGGTAGGATTTTTAATCCCAGCGCTCATCTTAGTGAAATTCGAAATTGTGAAAAAACAGGCAGCGCAAGAATGCTACCGTTGTCATGGCCGAACGCCGACTGAGATGCACAGTGCGCATGCACCAAAATGTACGAGATCTGCGCGCGCTTAGCAGCGTCAAAACTTAAGTTATTTACTTTCTGGATAGCCCTCGTAGTATACAACACCAGATTAAAAATTAATCTACCTCGGCATAATCTTGAATTCTACACCAAAAAGATATCTTACATAGGGCTAAAATTTCTCCAGTTTTTACCAGCTCACATCCAAAAAGAAACACAATTTAATAAATTCAAGCAGCTCTTAAAAGACTTCTTAATGCTTGCATAAGACTTGCTTAATAGGAACTCCCTGTTACTCAACAGACTTCTTAAGTATTAGTAAAAACAAAAACAGTTAACTTAATTTGAATTCCAAATAATCGTGATTTTGTTAAAAGTAAAAATAAAGTAATCTTAGTAATCTTTTTATGTATTTACTTAGCTGTAAGCAATCTTGAATTTATTACATGACTCTATTAAAGCTCATGTAATGTGACGCTTTAACGAATAAAGAATGTTTTGACTTGACTTGACCCCAAAATATCCCTTCAACGCATATTTAAAAATAAAAATAAATGTCCTTGTTTTTCTAAGAGAATGTTTGACTTATTATTATAATTTATCTTCCAACAGGAAAAACTATTTTTCAATGTCAACAGGCAAATGTCCATTCAACAATGTTATAAATGTCTATTGCTGGAGCCCAAGATCAGTTCAAGAATCAACAGTTTGTGCTCACTTGAGGATGTTGATCTCTGTGGCCAGCTGGTTCTCCAGCTCTTGCCTCTGTTGTTGTTCTGCCTGACTATGACTCAAGTACAGTTGAGCCTCCTCTCTCTGTGTAGCTGCTATAGCCTCCGCTCTCTCCTGGCCCACCCTGCACAAAACATACATAATATATAGAGCTTCGAACAGAACTTTTGTATCATGGTGTGAATAAAACTAACACTGGATACCTAACCAAGCAACAGGTGCAGAGCGGTGGAACTACATTACATTACATTTTAGAGACAGTATAAAACATAAGCAAACGGCACTAGCAACGCTGCAGCTATGCTCTGCATGCAGTCATCAAACAGTCTTGAATTTAACATTTAATTTAATTAAATATATGTATTTACCTTTGTCTACAGCTCAAACTGTTGTAACTTGAGTTACACCCGTTTCGGCATAATAATGCCAGTCGTCAGACGTAGAAAATTCCGCTGAAGTAGCGTCGTCATAGTCACACACAACACTAACAACATTTTACATTTAACAAAAATACGAATAAATTAAACAGGCCTGTTGCAAACATGGTACCGGTTGACATTTGAATGTGTCGACGTTTGAGTGTGTGCGGTACTGTGTGTAAAGACAAAGGTGAATACCTATTTTTAATTATTATCACAGCTCAGGGACTAAAACATGGATTTTAATTTGAGTTAATCAATACTTCTTGAATCAAACTGAATATTTTCCTATGATTTGGTAGTTGTGAGATTTGAGATTCAATTTTTTAGGGATGGTCAAGTCTCGAAATTTTGGGAAATTTTCGGGAAATTTTAAATCTCCTTACACGAGACGAGATTTCTTTTTGGCCAAGATTTTTATCGAGACAAGAATAAAAAAAAAAATAATAAAAAACGCCTGCAGAAAGTCAATGCAATACCCGCAATACAGGAGCGTGTTGTAGTTGCGTTTCCTTTGCGAAGGCGTTCTTATTTAATTAATTCTTTAAATGTAAATATTACTTTAATAACATTTGAGAAGTTTTGTTAAGTGTAAGCAGTGTGAGGAATGTTTTATTACTTTAAAAAGTCAAAACAAGTAACTATTTTATAAAAATTAATATTGCTTTTATTTTATGATTTATTTTATTTTAGGATAAGTTGAACTCTATCCTAACTGATATCACTATGTTTCCTAATCGTAGGCATTTTTAATAAGTTAGGCATGATTAATAAAAAAATGTTATGCTGATGTTTTTTAATAAAAGATTGTAAATATTCTTGCCTATTATCATTATTTTTGTATTTAAACAGTCATCTAACAATGTTACAAAATCAGGTAAAAATTTTGAACGTGCATTTCCTGTTGTGTATGAAAAGGGAAATCCCGTCTCGATCTCGTCTCGAAATTTTATGAGAAATAAAAAATCACGTCTCGTCTCGTCTCGAACTAAAAATCCAATCTCGTCCATCCCTACAATTTTTACATATGACCAGTTATCAGCACAATAAAGCCAACGGTAGTAGGCTTATATTCTATTGTCAAATGTAGGGAAAAAGTAGGGACAAGTCATCGTCTTTTATGTTTTAAGTACCCTGGAAGGACTCAACTACATAACAACTTGTGATCAAAATGTTGACTTACCGTGCAGCTATGAGATCTTCTCTACATTTCAACACCATCTCCTGGAGCTCCTAAAAAATAATTATTATGATGAATAGGTTTGAAAATAGCCATTTTAAAGTTTTTTGATGAGATGAGCTTTTATTTAAAATTAAAATGGATGTGACATAACATCACATAACAGTTGATTTGTCCCAACTCTAACAATACTTATTTTTCATGTATTTTAAAATGAACATAGGCTAGCAATGTTTATTACAATCATTCATCTATTATTATTATTACAGTTAAATGGTTAAATAAAAACTAGCCGATTAAAAGTGCATTAGCAAAAAAGATATTGTAGGTACTAACATTATAAATATGAAAGTTTGTTTGTTTGAAGTTCATTTACACATTAACTAACTACTGGTTGGATTGGGTTGAAATTTGGTATGATGACAGCTTACATTCCTTATTAACATATAAACGTATTCTTATCTCAAAAATCCTTTCGGGCTCTGCCCCAGTGGCTCTAGAGTTTCCTATGTTAACCTTATGAGTATTCATATTTAAAACAAAAGGAACTTTTGTCGGCTGTTTCAGCTACACAAGTTGGTTCTATGATATTCAATAGCATTAAAAAGTTATAAGGTTTTGGATTACACCAACTGGGTGCAGCACTATTTTTTTGTTTTTTCATATATTACAACAGCTAACTTGAACCAAGCAGCAACAAAAAGCTATGAAAACTTTACTTTTTTTATTGTTTAAGCATTTTATACTTCTATACGCTAACCACGTACGAAGGACGGGTACTCTGCCAGTATAAAATAAATATAAATTATTAAAAATCATCATCATCTCTGTCAACAAACAACTTAGAACCAATACCTGTACCTTATGGATTGTTGTTGTTAAGGTATGTAAACTATTAACGGTTGTTAAAACCAACCCTGAAAATCTTGTACAATTTAAAAATTACTGTAACATTCTATAAACCTGATGAATCAAAATAATCACTGGATTGAGTGATTACCGGTACTCTAAGTATTACCATGACACAATTACCTAATAATGTAGAAATTAAATTATTTTATCCATCAATGATCTGTTTTTAGTAAACAACTAACCTCAACTTTATCTGGCAAATCTATGAAAGCATCTTGCAGTTCCTGGGAGTGAGCGTTATATCTTCCTACTAGCTTATCATTTTCTAGTTGAACACTGAAATAACATATGATTATATTCAACAAATTTATTTATAGAAAATATATTGAAAAACTTAAAGAGACAAAGTTCAAAGCAGGTAAAACTCTGTTTCATTAGGAAAAAGTAATCAAACAGTAATTAAAATGTACTAGCTGTTAACCAAGGGCTTCACCCCGTTTGACTTCATAAGTATTAATAAAACTTTTTCCTACAGTCACCCGACAAAGTTGGCTTCCTTGTAATGTTTATAGTACAGAAAGCTGCTAATTGTTGCATATTTATACTTTGTCGTACGGTTTATACTTTGGCGCACATCAGGATTCCAACGAAACAACACAAAACAGCGTGGTTCTATTATGCACGTAATCCGTGTACGCTTGGGAATAGGTTGGCAACACTTAAAGATAATAATACTATGAGCAGCTGATTGACTATTATAACTACGATTTAACCTGTCATTTCGTGTTTATGGTTTCGGTATTTCTGATCTTTTCTTTTAAACGTTTTTAAAACATTCCTACGATCCTAATAAACAAGAAAATATCTTTAAAGCACTTTTTTTTTGGCAGGGAAACCACTTCAAATTACAAAAATATACGGAACTATTTTCTCAAGTCGCGGAGCACATTGCTTGCCAAGGAAAAAATAGCGGAGTGATACGGACCGGTGGCTACTTTCTCTAGGGCGCCTATTTGTGTTGCCAGCTGAACCTAAAAACATGTTGTATAGTGTTTGAAAGACTAATTATTTATATGCTTTATAGTGACTGTAGGAAAAATATAATGTGTAACACGAGTGCAAAAGGCCTTTGCTGCACTCGAGATCATTCTGCACGAGCCTATTGCTCTCGTGTGCAGCAAAGTGCCACTTTGCTCACTAGTTACACAAATAACTATTGTTTGGTTAAGTTAAGCTGAAATAAACAAAACAGAATACAGAAGAAAACACAAACAAAACAAAATAAACACTGGATATTTCGAGGCCACTGGCCCCTTTCTCAACATGGAGAGTCACATTAGATATTAAGAGTCTTTCACTGGTAAGGAAGCAACCAGTGAAAGACTCTTAGGGGCGGTTCACGAGCTCGGGACTTCATAGTCCGCGACCAGGCGTTGGTCCGGGACTAAATAAGCGACGACCAAAAAATGGGTTCACGAGTCAGAGCCTAATGATGTGGAAGCCGGGCCCAGTGTAGGTCGAGACCAAATCCGTAGCGGAGCCTAATGACAGGGATTCGCAGGGAATTTCCGTTGAGACGTTGGTAACAACCAGTAACATCAGTCTGGAAACACATGTGAAGCCACTGCTGTTGACATACGCACTTCCATACAATAGGATGATCGTGAAAAAGGGCTGGACCAAAATGTTCAAAACGATTATTTTTCTCGTATTTAATTGTCCCAATGCTCGCCTATGATAATCTATCTAAGTTTATTGATTTATAAATCCACGTTTGTATGGAATCAGATAATGGAAGTCTTTAGTGAAATATATTTTTCTGTTTGCATTATTATAATTTAATTAAGATGCATGACATAAAATAACCGGGTATTTATAAACGGATGAATTCCTATTTTGCATAAATGCCCGATAATTTAGGATGGTGATTTTTTGATAGGATAGTTGTAACTAAACTTATTTAAATGGTACAATTATTGAAACTAAAATGTATTTTAGATGTACTGATTATTAGATATAAAAATTGTATGTGTGTGCTGGATTTAATCGTGGCTGTAACCTAAGAATAGTCTTTCCGTTATTCTTACACTCTTTAATAATCTAACTTTAAAATGTTGAAAATAATATTCTGCAGTTAGCTCGTAATATTATTTATGTTAACAGCTATGGTTTTTAATTTACAAAAACGTCTTTAATTTACGTTTATATTTTAGGAAAACATTGTTTTTTCCTTTGGATATAGTTTCGAACTAAAAATTTGATTTGTTCTGCTTTCATTATAAAAAAAAAAAAAAAAAAAAAAAATAGCTATCATCCAAGCTTTACTAACATCCAATAAATCACCAGTTTCTCGATGAAAAGTGCCATCAGCCAAAAATTTTCAATTTAGAATACAGTAATGGATTTTGCTGTCGGGAAATCCGTGCCTTTGAGTGAACGCCTCAAATGACTCATTGACGGCATCTTTGGAACATTTTAATCTACCTTTAAATTCATCAAGTCATAAAAGGGTTTTAGTCATGATAACGAGCTGGTCCTATGCGAGGTAGTGGAGTGATGGTACATAATTGTTAACATAATACAGTATACTGTAGATATTTCATAGTCATATTCAATACACACGGCGACCAGTGAGTACAACACAAGACGGTGATATCACCGCGAACCGTACTCAACGACTGACGGTTTGCTTGATGTTTCCCACGGCAAAAAACCATTTCTGATAATTATTAGATAACGATGGTTTAACTGTGGCCGATTAGTTATATTTATATTCTACACATAATTTTCTCGTTAAAATTGTAATAACTTGGGGTTTATCAGTAAAATATCTTTGTTATGATACTACTTTGTTACGTGCATAATTTATGTGTCGTTTTAAGTTGTTTGATGATTTTTTTCATGTTTTATGATCCTTTTTACCATTTTTACATATTTTTTAAATATGGTGTTGTGGGTAATGAAAGTGTTCGGAATTTAATGAGGAACCATATTTAAACATTAGTTTTTAACAAATAATAAAAATAAAGGAGCTAATTAGATAAAACCGGCATCATGTCACGTTAAACCTGCCTCCTACCAGGTCTGAGTTGGAGACCAAACACCATTGTTCTTTTGGGCCCGAACCATCTCATTTGGGCTCGGACTTGACTCGTGAACCCACCGGGACTAATGATCAGAGCCGGGACTATCTGTAATTGGACTCGTGAACCCAACTTTTAAAACCGGGTTTTATCCCTGCACTAATTGTGTGCCGCCTATCAGTTTGGTCCGCGGCTTATATAGTCTCGAGCTCGTGAACCCGATTTTTTAAGTCGTGGCCCAAATACCGGTTATTTCCGGATTCTGGGCTCGGACTACGATAGTCCCGAGCTCGTGAACCGCCCCTTAATATCTAATGTGACTCTCCATGTTGAGAAAGGGGCCAGTGGCCTCGAAATATCCAGTGTTTATTTTGTTTTGTTTGTGTTTTCTTCTGTGTTCTGTAGTGAATGAAGTGGGATGCCTACATTTTTTAAGGTAAGCCTGCTTATCCTATCTTTTCTCACACCTATTCTCAGGCAATTAGCCCTTTCTCTCCAAACAAAACAGAATACAGTAATACAAATAATCAAACCTGATTTTAATAAGGTAATAAATTGAATGAATAACAAACAAATAAGTACAGCTGAGGTACTAGGTATTTTTAACATTAGGTATATACAGGGTGACACAGAGGAACCGGACGTTTTTTAAACAGCTGTTCCATTGTTGTTGCACGTGGTAGGAAGATTGAAGTTATGTCATTACCTTCAGTGAGGCTTGCCATTTTTGTTGAAATGGCTCAGTGGACCCTAGACCATCGCGTTTTCGCATACAATAATTTAATCCGAGATGGTGAATCCGTCGTCAAATCCAGCGGGAATTTAGTTGACATTTTAATATTGAACGCCATGGAACTGTTCCAAGCCGAAATACACTATTAAGATGGGTTTCAGGGTTCCGAACAACTGGGAATATAACAAGAAAGCAACCACCAGGCCTTGTTAGAGCTTCGAGAACACCCGAAAACATCGCCAGAGAGAGAGCAGTATTGAATGAATGTTTCCTAACAAGGTGATTACTGATTTCTCGCTTTGGTGACATACCGTGGCCGCGAAGATCATCTGGCTTGTCCACTAGTGATTATATCCTTTGGGGGTTTCTTAAGGAGCGTGTTCATGCTCCCAAACCACGCACTCTCGAGGATTTGAAGTTTGCAATCACAGAAGATATCAATGACATTCAACCTCCTGACCCGAGTTTCAGAGGATTTTCAGACCAGAATACACTTTTGTAGATAAGTACATGGCCGCCGTATGCATGACGTCATTTTCAAAAAATGACGGTTTTGTAACAAATGGCAAATGTTTACCTCACTATGTACAGTATTAAAACCAGTTTATTCCTTTTAACTACTGTGTACTACTTATTTCAAAAACGTCCGGTTCCTTTGTGTCACCCTGTATATGAAAAGTTCCCTTTAGAAAGGAATTACGGCATTTTAGGAGTAATGGATAGTTTTGTGCAAGGTTTCTCATCATGACGAACAATTTAAGTATATGGTTTATGGGGGTGTGACTTTTAGTTTTCTCAAAAGTTTATGGGTACTTTGGGGTTCATATATGGATGTGTGCAAGCCAAGCTTTTTTCTATCAAGGATTTACATAATTACAAATAATAAGTTGATCAGGCCTTAATGAGCAGATTCTAATATTGCAAATTCCCCAATCAATCGCATGGCTTTCCCTTGTCTACCTGTCCAGATCCCTCTGTGTCTGCTCCCTCTGAGCCTTCAGTCTGTCCAGCTCCTTGCTGACACTGGCTGCCATCTGTCTGAAGGCATCTCGAGTCTCCTTCAGGGCTGTCTCACTTGTCACCATCCTCTGCTGCAGCTCTGCCACCTGAGGAGGCAAGTCAAGTGATCAAAGAAAATTAAACCTGACAATGTTCAAAATGGGGTAAACAGCTTCTCAACAAAATAAGTCCCAAAGTAATAAAAGAACCTTTACTATTGGTTACAATCGTATGATTACAAAAAAAAGTGAAACATATCTAATAAGACATTTAGGGATGGGTCAGTTTTAGGGATAGGTCAGTTTTTTAAGTCGGTTGATGGATTAAATGGTTTTTAGCAAAAACCAAAACTGACATTTCCTATCAATTCACGGTATCGGTTTTCAATTGCCACACAAAAAGTTTGCAATTGTATGAAACAATTGCAATGATTTGCGATCGTGGGGAATGTACAAGATTTTGCCATGGTCGGAGGGGACAATGATAATGTGTTCTTGATCGATCACAGAAGACAAGCATGGTGTCAACAAGACCTCAGGAAATATTCAGCATTTTGCCCTGATCAAGGAAGAACAACGTTGATGTTGACAAGACCGTGGTACAAATTCAGGATTTTGTGGGCGACAATGGTAATGTCTTTTCAATGGTGGAAGATACTCTCAACTATTTCACTGTGATTTCTTGATACGATAATGATATCTTCCTGATATCAGAGGTTGTTAAACATTTTGGCCGTGATACAATGTTGATGTCTTCACAATCCCGGAAGAAGTTTAAGATTTTGCCACGATCACCAAAGACAATGATGGTGCCTTTGTGATCATAAAATAAAATCAAGATTTAGCTGTGATCACTGAAGAGTGGAAAAAATTATGCCAATGATGATGACTTCACAAGCACCAGAGATGTTCAAGATTTATTTGGATCACAGATTATTTTCATTATGACAACATAATAAATTCACATTACACCAAATTTTTGAATACAATAACCTAATACAGTACACTCCCTATCAACCAAGGTCAAGGCTGTTGGGGCTGAGACTACTTCGGTTAAAGAGAATCTCGGATAACAATGAGGTTGCTTACATTTTGGGGTTTGGTTAATGGTTACAGGACCACATTAGGACAATTCAATTCATTAATACATCGAAAGAAAGATCAAATAAATGGGTTTCAAAAATTTTTTGCAATAGGTTGTGCTAGTAAAGAAATCAGCAAACAAACATGCACAACACTTCTTGAATAGTCTTTAAAAACTCAAAATAGGCCTACTTTTAATTATTATTAGGCCTACAATTATGCTGAACCAACACTCTAACTTCAAATTCAAATTCTAACTGTTTTAAAGAAAGTTGGTCAGCATCATGGATTCTCTGAAAATGAACCATAGAAAAAAAATTTAGTGCTATGGGGGTTGTGAAGCCTTAAGATTACATTTTTAGTTACGATTCCTCACTCCGCTAGATAAGCATTAAAATGACACCTCAATCGTAAAATTGGTTAAGTAGGAAGCCTGGAAAAGGGATGTTACAGAGAAACCCCTTGTTGTATTAAATTTATAGATACATGCTTAACTTTACTTTAAACAGGAATATACATTGATAAAACAATTATTGTTTTCTGACCAAAAATAAATATATATTATATATATAGTCCTAAACTAAAACTAACTCGGATAACCCGAGAAGAGTGTACTGTCCTGCTTTTCTGTTGGCAACCATACAAGAAACTTAAACATTTATAGCATAGTCATGATGATTATTTAGGAATTTGACATGTATACATGTCAATTATTACATACATTAATAAAAAAATTATTGTTTTCTGACCAAAAATAAATATATATTATATATATAGTCCTAAACTAAAACTAACTCGGATAACCCGATAAGGGTGTACTGTCCTGCTTTTCTGTTGGCAACCATACAAGAAACTTAAACATTTATAGCATAGTCATGATGATTATTTAGGAATTTGACATGTATACATGTCAATTATTACATTATAAACAATTGAGACCATACAATAGTCGGAGGTGCAAGAAGTTTTAAGAATTTATCTAGAGCTTAGAGCTGCAGAAAGCAACAATCATTAACACTTATTTAAAATTATTCAGGCCTAAATATTACTTATTATTAGTTAAGTTTCTTATGTTTAATTACCTGAGCCTTGTGTTCTTCTTTGTTTTCATTCCATCTCTGCTCCATATCCTGTCTGGCTGCCACTTCCCTGAAACAATACAATTGGTTTTATTAATTTGTAAAGTAAAACATCAACTATTCTGCCTAGAAAAAAAAAACGAATTCCCTAGGTAAGGCGTAGAATAATAACTTGCATATTATCTTTGACTATCAATACAACAACATAGTTTGTCTTTAAAAAATAAATTGACCATTGGAAAACAACTTTTTTTTAATGAGATGATTTTTAAATGAGGTTTATTATACTAGTTAACGCCACTCATTTTAAAGCATTTTTCTTCCTACAGGCTGGTCTGTAAACTCCTACAAATACATGTCCCTTTAAATTTTTTAAACAAATTCAATCCAAAATACCCCCGCTACAGCAAACCTGCTGACTAAGCGAATTTCCATTTGCCTGGATTGATTTTCAATTAATCTATTAAATTAACATTTATGCTTAACAAGTACCTAGGTTTGCTGCTACAAAGAAACTAATAAAGTGTGTTTTTATTAAAATATTAATAGCTTAGTATAAAATAAATAAATAAATTTGATCAAAATATATCCATAAACAATCCAATTACATTTTACAATATTCTCCATATGAATAACATGGGAATTTTAAATGAATATTTTTTTGAATTTTCTCCCTAGCCAATAGCCTAACCGTACAAAAACACTTGACTAAATCATGTGTTTTTTTTTTTTTTTTTTAATCTCTATAAGGTCTGGAAAAAATTAATAAATTTGGTGTTTTAAAGGTAAAAAATGAGAAAACCCATTTTTACCCCATTAAACCACGTTTCCATGGTCCGATCATGCTGGTTCGTGAACTCATTCAAGTTTATCCCGCCTTACACCTTCAAACTAAATTTTATCAAAATCGGAAAAAATTACTCAAGTTATTGTCTTCACGGACATCTATATATATATATATATATAATATGCTAACATTGGAATATCACTACTCCCACCTTTGTTGTAAAGAATCTAGAACCTGTTCAATTATTTAATCATATAACATTAAAGAATGATTGGACCGACATTTTAGATGATAGAAGAGTAATTATGTACATTTTATTAGTCTGGATAATAATATTAACAATCTTACTCATTATTTCAGCATATTTCATCCACATACTCAAAATTAAAATAAATCTAATCACTAAACCTCAAACCCCTCAAAAAGACTATTAACATAACAAAGTATTACCCAGAATAAATCATTTATAATCTGAACATATGAACATAATTTATAATAATAATAATAATAAATAAATAACAAACAAACAGCTAATATTTAAATAATTCAAAACTAATGAAACAATCAATTAACTTAAGGAGACTCGAAGGGGCGAAAGAAGATGTGAGCGACTATGAGCTATACACCACCAGCTCATTCTACCGCGTCGCTGGAAGGGTCGCGAAACAAGCAAATGCGCCGATCCTCAAGATCGCATCGCGTCGCACGAAGGGGGGAAGAAGAGTCGGAATGCACATCAAGATATCCGTTCGATTCCCTCCATCGCGATTGATGGTTCCGCGTATCTCCTTAAGTTGTTTTTTCTTTTTTATTGTCAACCAGTGGTAGGTTGACGTTTTAACCAGGGGGGTGTAAGAAAGGGGATTAACCCCGTACCCACAGTGCTCATCTAAGCAGACACTCTGTTCACATTACACTTAGTCGTCCAGTTGGTGTGAACAGAGTTGAACAGTAGCATGAGCATTGATTTACAAATTCCTTTCCCAGCTGACGTGAGCTAGGTGATGACCGGTAGGGCTGACTTCCAAGAAACATCGTTAACCTATAAGCCACACACCCTATCGGTAATCAGCCAATGAGAAGGGCTATTGAAGAAGATGGAGGGGTGAGGAGTCTCGGAGCTGGAGGACCTGAAGGAAAAAATCGGGGAGATCACCACGGGTCACTGGACCAAGAAGATCGAGAGTTTCGGAGTGTGTGTATGGGTGCGTGTGCTTCTGGGACAATAAACAGTATGTAAAAGAATAAAATATATAACTAAAGTTTTGTAAAACAAACATGTCATATAATTTGTCAGTAACTTATTCTTTTCATTTTCAATTGATTTTCTTTTCTTGTAAATTTAACTTTGTAAATTAATTTATCTTACAATTTATTGTTGTTCTTTGCCTTTTCATAGTTTTCTTTTGCTGTTGTAACACTTTGTAACTTTTGTTGTTATTCTAAATTTAATTTTGTTTATTACACTTGAGTAACACCCTTAAGCAGTCTTATGTCTCATTAACCTAACACCTCTTGACTAAGCTAAGCGAGTGAAACCTTTAGGAAACTTTAATTTAAAGTGAGGCATGGGGCTCGCAACATATATAAACATTTAAACGAATAGTGCATATCGGGTGATGCAAGCGACACGTAGCTAGCTGGTGTAGCGGCTGCTATGTTGCTCGCGTATTAATGCGCCGGTGTGAACACTCTCATTTAAATATCATTGAGCTACGTTAGCAACGTCTGCTGACGCCGGTAATGACAGTACTTTATGGTGATGTAGTAACTAAAAATATATATATATATATATATATATTATGTCTCAGTTTAAATTTTTAAATTTTGAATCTTTTTATCCCAAAACCTAATATTTTTTTAAACTTGGTGCCTTGCCAGTCCATATTACACAGAGTTTGTTAGACTCAACGGTAATGACTACTTCCCTGTCACAGTGTACTACAGTGTCAGTGTACTGACCTAGTCAGGTCGTCTTTGGTTCTCTCCATCAGCTGTAGTTGCCGCTGCAGCTCCGTTACTTTGGTCTGCTCTGTCACCAGCTGGGCCTCGTAGTTCTGACACATGGGACACTTGGCTTCCGGTGACGAGTCTGAGACAAACGACCAACATTTACAAACTGGCCGATCAATCAATAATACCTATTCATATAGCCGCTAAATAATATCAATACCTTTGACCAGAGGTTTCCAACCTTTATAACCCAAGGGCCACATTGTAGTTTTTTTGGAGGAAAGGGCCTGCCAATATTATAAGTGCATAGAGTTTTATCTCCTCTAAATAACGCATATCATCAATGTAAATTTTTAATTGGGTTAAGCAGTGGGTTTATTAATGTTGGATAAGCACTAAGTAATAATCTTTGACTATTGATAAGATCTTTGACTATTGAATCTTTGCCTTTCAATAAGTAATACCTTGACTATTGATATGGCAACTCAATAGGTAATACATTTGACTATTGATATAGGCGCTCAATAAGTCATATTTTTTACTATTGATATGGGAAATAACAATTGTAAGATGAGAAATAAACATTGTACTAGAAATTGTGGCGAGGCAGTGTCTGTATATTTATTTTGTATATGTATTTAATATTTATGTATGCATAAATAGTAAAATATAAAATAAATGACTGGATAAAAAACATGGAACTTACCAACAAGTTTGCTCTCTATTGAATTTCTCAAAGGAGAGCTAGGAACTTTAGACTGACTAGATGATACACTTCCTCCTGTAACAAAATAACGAGTGCTTAGTGTAACAAGTACTGAATAAACAAGTAATGAGCGTACAAGTACTATTCTTTGGTCTTTTATACTTTAACTAGCAACCTGCGTCACTTTGTGTCTTCAAATTCTGTGATATATTTGAAATATAATTGATAAGGGTGAAAACGATTATTTCTCATCATATCCCTGTTATTTGCATTGCGAGCCCTATTTTTTCATTGCCTGCGCCATCTCTTCGAGCTATCTCAGAAAAATTACAAATACATTACTAATGAATGAAACATACTATGAAAACACAAATCCTATCACAACACAAAATCTAACTTAAGTCATTTTCTCCTTTACATTTTATACAAATAACATTACAAAATTTCACTTGAATTCACTGAAGCATCACCAACTACAGGTAACCCCATTTTTCTATGGATATAAAAAAAAATTGAATCATGGCCATCTGTTTTGATGTAAACAAATGTAAACTTGAAAAAGTTCAAATTATTGACGACAGAATTCAGCACAAACTATGAAATTGTATAAGCCTATAGGACAAAGGGCTTTAATGGGATATCATCCAAACCTGCAAAAGGCACATCTTGAGGATAAGAGCTTTAAATTGATACCCAATATGCCTATAAAAATAAATATTTAGGGGTTGATTTGCTGCACACAAAATCCATCAAAATTCTTTTAATAATTTAGATAAAAATAACAAACAAAATCTAAGATTGATTACAAAAATCAAATAAAAAAATAATTTTCAATTGAACTACTGTACTGTGCTGAATGATTTATGCACTTCTAAAGAAGATTAATCATCCGTTTAGGTGTTTAGTATGTTTACCGCGTATAGTAACACTGTGCTAATCTAAATCTGTAAAATATTATCGAACAATATTTGGGCAACTTACTAAAATTTTCTTGACCTGATCCAGGTGGTGTATCAGCAGCTGGAGACTCCAACTGAAATTTAGATAAATAAACTGTATCAGCAATCTGACTCATACTTTCTCCCGTTTGCTTGTCATCAACCTTTTTAACATGTAAACAGAGAGAGTAACTATGATATTTAAAAGGGAAAATCACAAAATTATCCAATTCTGTTCTCTTGCAAATACATGTTATAAACATGAACATGAATGTTATTGTCATCATGAAGGTACAAAAATATAATTATCTTGTAATATATTAAGTTTTTAACCGTAATTTTTACAGCAATAGGGGGTTGCACTATTTTTATTGGAATTACAAGGAACACTAAATTGGAACATACTAATTTTGATCAGAACCACCTTTTTTATAAAAATCAGATTTTCCGTTATTTTATGGGAAAATAACAAAAGTTACAATAACTTCTGAACCGTAATTTTTACAGAAATGGGGTTATACCATTTTGTTCAGAATTTTAAGGACTATAACACACTAAATTTTTATCAAAACTGTTCAGGCCATTTTTGAAAAAAAAATTATTTTACCTATATTTTATGAGTTATAATAGAAAAATCTAACTTTCAAAAAATGAAAATAACGCCCGGAAATACAATGTATTAGTACTTACAAAATAAATTTAATCAAAATCGGACTACAGGTGTGGTTGTAGCGGATGGGCATACGGGAGGGACTATGGCTAAAGGTGTGGTGACGTCATATCTCTAGTGGCTAATGTCTTCTCTTGAGGCAACACGATTACCGTAACAAGACGATGTGTGTTGGAAATTAAGTTGTTTTTTATATAATACAAATTTCTATATTAATCAACATCAAATATAATAATTTATTAGTCTTTGTTTTTTTGAACAGATGGTTTATTTTAATTTATTTTAAACAATTGAGAAGAGTTGTAGTAAGAATTTAAGAAAGTGAACAACATAACAATTTAGTTAAAGAGAAATGTTATAAAATATTTGTTCTTTATCAGAATTAAATCAGTTCTTTATTAGATAATATTTTGTAAAGTTCTTTATTTCACACGAGTTCTAACATAGTGGCGACCGTGACAGGACTTTTATAGTATTTATAGTATTTATAGTAATTCAGAGTAGGACCAAGCTTATATTTTACTTACAATGGATAAGCTAAGGTCAATAAAGACTGAAAGGACTCAACTAAGAAGAACTTTTACAAAGTGCAGAAATGAAATGGACAAATTACTGGCTGAAGATATTAAAGATGAAGTAGCAATTAAAAGAAATCTAAACAAGTTGCAAGATAAAGCTGAAAGGCTTTTTAAGCTAGATGAAGACATCAAGGAAGCCTTGTTTGAAAATCCTGCAACAAAAGAAGAGGATTTAGAAGCTGAGTTTGATACTACAGAATCTTACAGAGACATGTTATCTTCAATGAGAGCTAAGTATGACCATTTCATTATTCAGGTTGGCCTAAGCCAACAGTCAAGAAGTGAAGTCGGGGATACCGTTCACAGTCTTAAATTAGTATCTAAGAAGGGGTTAAGTCTACCTAAATTACAATTAAACCAGTTTGATGGAGATGTAAAAAATTGGATAGGGTTTTGGGGGCAGTTTAAGAAGGTCCATGAGGATCCTGATCTAGAACCTGAGGATAAGTTCCAATACCTCATCCAATCTTTAAAGCCAGGATCATCCCCTAGGGAATTAGTAGAAAGTTTTCCCCCATCTGGAACTAATTATGTAAAGGCCCTAGAACAATTAAAAGCAAGATTTGGTAGGGATGACTTTTTAATAGAAGTATATGTGAGGGAACTGCTCAGTCTAGTGCTCCAAGAAGTAACGCTAGGTCCTAATACTAAACTGTGCCGACTGTATGACAAATTAGAAACACAGTTAAGGGCACTTGAAACTTTAGGAGTCACTTCAGACAAGTATGCTTCAATGCTGTATCCTCTTGTAGAATCTGCTTTGCCCGAAGAAATATTACGAGCCTGGGAGCGGCATCGTTCAAGTAGGTTACTACACACACCTTCAACTTCTACATCGTCAGATCTAGTAATTTCTAGTAATTTTCTAGAAGAACTTCTTGATTTTCTGAATGCCGAGGTGGAGAGTGAAGAGAGGCTGGCGCTTGCTCGTTCGAGTTTTAAATCTGCCACTCCAGGAGACAACAACAGCAAATGCAGCAGCCAAAAGAAAATGTCAACTGTACATGAAACTCGTCAGAATGAACCTACGGTAGCAGCTCTATTGACAACTGGTACAGAGGGTCCTAGAAGGTTGGTGAGTAACTGCACTTATTGTTCTAAAGGAGGGCACAATGCTCAAGATTGTTCCTATTTTCAACAATTAACCTTAGATGGAAGAAAGAAGCATCTGAAAAAGAAAAATTGCTGCTTTGTGTGCTTGAAGCAAGGTCACTCAGCAAAAAAGTGCAAGGTATTTGTCAAATGTCTCTTCTGTTGTAAAAGACATTATGGAATCATGTGTAGGGACTTATATGAAAGTAGGCCTCGATCTAAAATTGATGTTGACAAGCCAGACTTACTGCAGCAAAGTATAACTAAGCCTAAGTCAGAGGTTCTCAGTAATTTTGGAAACGGTACAGGAGAAACTCTATTACAGACTCTATTAGTTAAGGTTGCAGATGAGAAAGGTAAAGAGTATTTGGGAAGAGTACTTTTAGATCCAGGTTCCCAGAGATCCTACATTACTAAGGACTGTGTCACTAAATTAGGTCTACAAAAAACAGGTAGTGAAGTCATAAATCATAGCTTGTTTGGTGGTGTAAATATAAAACAAAAATCTCATAAAAACTACCTAGTGACTCTTCAGAATGTAAATAACTCTTTCAAGATCTCTATTCCTGTGACAGACCAAGAAACAATTTGCAACTATGTACCTAGGCTTAAGAGTGAAGAGTATTTTGACATCTTGAAAGAAAAGAATATTATTTTAACTGATGTAGGTGAAAATGTACCAGATGTAAAGATTTTACTTGGTGCAGATGTATTAGTGGATTTTTATACAGGAACTATCCAGAGGATTGACGACAAATTAGTTGCTATTGAAACGTACCTTGGATGGACCGTGATGGGGAAACAACCACTCAGTGGAAGTCGTAATACGTCTCTTCTAACTTTATTTTGCCAGAGTAAACCAGAATTCAAAGATCTATGGAGCTTGGAGACAATCGGAATCAAGGACCCTATTGAGGTGAAGCAGAGAGACTCCATTGATTCAGAAGTATTTCAACATTTTAAAGAAAATGTAAGAGTGAATGTTGAGAATAGGTACGAAGTATGTTTGCCGTGGTTGGAGGGTCATCCTGAACTTCTAGACAATCATGAAATTGCAGAGAGACGTTTGATGTCATCAACTAGAAGATTAAATACCCTTAACAAATTCAACGACTATGATAAAGTCTTCAAAGAATGGTTAGAAGAAGGGATTATAGAAAATGTTCCAGAATCAGCAGAGTCAACAAAGGTCCATTACCTGCCGCATCACCCAGTCATAAAAGAGAGTAGCTTAACTACTAAAATACGTCCAGTGTTTGATGCGTCTACAAAGGACAGAAGAGGGCATTCTTTGAATGAATGTTTGGCTACAGGTCCAAATTTAGTAGAGTTGATTCCATCTCTTGTAATGAAATTCAGGAAGCACCAGATTGGAGTAACAGCAGACATAAAAAAGGCTTTTTTACAGATCAGTTTAGCTCCTCAAGACCGAGACTACCTTAGGTTCATTTGGTGGGAAGACTACAAGACTAGAAAATTGACAACTTTTAGACATTGCAGAGTTGTCTTTGGAATTACCTCCAGTCCCTTTCTGTTAGGAGCCACACTAAATCACCATTTGGATGACGCACCACTTCATCTACAAGAGACAGCTGCGAAATTGAAAGATGCCTTTTATGTTGATAATTGTATTGTTAGTGTTGACTCTGCAGTAGAACTAAAAAAGTTTGTAAATGAATCCATGGAACTAATGAAGCTAGGACAGTTTGAATTAAGAGAATGGGCTAGCAACTATTCAGATGTCAGTAACCTTGAAAATGAATTTTCAACAGAAAATATTGTACCATTACTGGGCATGTTGTGGGACAGAGAAAAGGATAAGATTTTGTGTGACATACGATCCATTTCTATGCCAAACAAGAAGGTAACCAAACGAGATCTACTCTCAGTAGCCCAGCGAATTTTTGATGTGGTAGGTTTCACTTGTCCTGTGTCTTTATTACCTAAGTTACTCTTACAGGAGACATGGCTGAAAAAACTGACATGGGATGAAGAACTTCCAAATGAAATAGCATGCCAATTTTCAAAGTGGGTTGAAAATATTCATTGGTTGGAAAGCTGTCGAATACCAAGAAGAATATTTCTTTTAGGGAGTCTGTCCGCAAATGAGACTAGTTTTCATATATTTTGCGATGCTAGTAAACTGGCTTATGCAGCTTGTCTTTTTATCAGAACCAAGTCTCAAAACAAGGTAGCTGTGCAGCTTATTTATGCAAAATCTAGGATTGCCCCGAAGAATGCAACAATACCAAGATTGGAGCTGTTGGCCGCACTTATGGGAGCTCGGATCTACACACATGTTCAAAAGGCGTTGAAGATGTCATGTAAAACATATTTTTGGACAGACTCATCAATCGTACTGACATGGATCAAAGAGAAGGAAGATTGGGGAACTTTCGTTGGGAACAGGTGCAAAGAAATTTGTAACACTACTTCTAAAGATGATTGGCACCACATTTCAGGAGATCTTAACCCTGCTGATTTGCCTTCAAGAGGTTGCGGAGCTAAGACACTTTATGAATCTCAATGGTGGAAAGGACCGTATTGGCTTCAAAATGATGAGTCTCAGTGGCCAGTGTCGAGTCTTATGCTACCAGATTCAGAAGCATATACTGAACGGAAAAAGAAGATTATATCAGCAGTAACTACAGAAAAAAGTATTGATTTCTCAATGTCATTACTATACTTTTCAAGCTACCTAAAACTGTTAAGAATGGTAGCATGGATTTTACGATTTATTAGGAACTCAAGCCACAATCAAGAATCAAAAAGTGAAACTTTAAGTAGTGAAGAGATTCAAATGGCTGAAGAGAAAGTTATTTTATGTATCCAAAAGAACTCGTTTGGAGAAAAATCTAAATTCCAGAAAAACTTGCCAGTTTTCTTCGATGACAAGGGTTTGTTAAGAGTGAAGACCAGACTAGTTCTGAATGACGACAGTGAAGATTTCAAATTGCCGATTCTTTTACCTTCAGGTCATCCTATCGTCACACGTATCATTATGGAACTTCATGTTGCTAATCAACACGCTGGACTTCAATCAATGTTAGTTATAGTCAGAGATAGGTTTTGGATTCTAAAGGGTAGAAAAACAATTCGCAATGTTTTATCTCACTGTGCTAAATGCAAGAGATTCAAGTCTAAAGCAGGAGAAGCACCAGTTGCTCCACTTCCCTTAGAACGGATCACAGAATGCAACGCTTTCCAGTCTACAGGCATTGATTTGGCAGGACCACTGTACCTAAGAAACGGGGAAAGAGCATGGGTGGTTTTATTCACATGTGCCGTGTACAGAGCTGTGCACTTAGAGCTGGTACAGTCTCTTTCAACGGACTCCTTCATATCTGCTTTACGACGATTTATATCCAGAAGAGGACGAATTTCACTAATTTACACAGACAATGGGACCAATTTTGTCGGTACAAATAATATCCTTAAGCGTTTGGATTGGAAAACCATTTCTCAGAAATTCGAGATCCAACAAATAACCTGGAAATTCAATCCTCCAAGTGCCCCATGGTGGGGAGGTATGTGGGAACGACTAGTGAGAATGGTCAAGGAACTGTTGAGGAGAAATCTAAGATTGGCAAAAGTAGATTATGAAGAATTAATGACTCTTTTATGTGATTTGGAATCTACCATCAACTCAAGGCCTTTGACCTATATGAGTGATGACTATGACACTCTACAACCTCTCACACCTTCAGTATTTCTACAACCAATTGTTAAGAGTGACGTTCATGATTTGGACATTGTCGACTCAACTACTCTAAACAAGCGAGTGAGGTATCTTCAAAGCTTAAGACAAAATGTGAGATCAAGATTTAAGAAAGACTACCTTGCAATGCTAGTACATAGATCTAAAGAAAACAGTGGTAAAGGAAGGAGGACAATAAGTACTGGTGATATTGTACTAATAGGTGACGATAATATCAAAAGAATAAATTGGCCACTAGCACTAGTGTTGGAGACAATACGAGGAAAGGATGGAGTCTGCAGAGTAGCCAAGTTAAAAACAGCAAAAGGAGAACTAACAAGACCCATCCAGAGACTTTACCCCATGGAAATAAATTCAAAGGACATGTCAAGGAAACAGGATGCACATATTGAAGTGGAAGATAAGTCATCAACACCAACAGAAACAAGAAGAGGGAGAAAGATAAAAATCCCTACGAAAATGGACTTGTGAACTTATAAAAAAAAAAACATGTAAATAGTTTTGTTTGAAATTTTGAAGACCTAAAGCAAAATTCCAAGGTGGGGAGGATGTTGGAAATTAAGTTGTTTTTTATATAATACAAATTTCTATATTAATCAACATCAAATATAATAATTTATTAGTCTTTGTTTTTTTGAACAGATGGTTTATTTTAATTTATTTTAAACAATTGAGAAGAGTTGTAGTAAGAATTTAAGAAAGTGAACAACATAACAATTTAGTTAAAGAGAAATGTTATAAAATATTTGTTCTTTATCAGAATTAAATCAGTTCTTTATTAGATAATATTTTGTAAAGTTCTTTATTTCACACGAGTTCTAACAATGTGATTCCAGCGGCGTTCGTGGCATAGTTGATAGCGTTTTGGATTGGTGTTCAGGAGGTCTCCAGTTCGAAATCAGCCAGGGACACTAACTTTTTGTCAAAGATTTTGCTTTGAATGCGACTACTTCTTAACTGTAGATCTTTTATTAGAATTTGATGCATTTATAATTTTTTTTATGAACAGAACTTTTTTTTAATAGTAAACCTTTATTCGATTTTTATCTTATATCTTTTTTTATATTATCAGCAAGTTTGGTGGTTAGGTTAGGTTATGACAGTTTAATTTTATAATACTAAATTTTAAGATTAATTTTATAACTAAAAATTATAAGTAAACATTTATTTGATTTTTATCTTATATTTTTTTTATATTATCATCAAGTTTGGTTAGTTAGGTTGGGTTATGCCAGTTTAATTTTATAATACTAAATTTTAAAATTAATTGTATAATTAAAAATTATAAGTAAACATTCATTTGATTTTTATCTTATATATTTTTTATATTATCAGCAAGTTTGGTTGGTTAGGTTAGGTTATGACAGTTTAATTTTATAATTAAAAATTTATTTTATATTTAAAAAGTTAATTTTATAACTAAAAATTATAAAATTAATTTAAAATTTTTCAACTTAGTGGTTCTAGCGGCAAACGCTGACACTACAAGATATGTTAGCCATAGTCCCTCCCGTGTGCCCTTCGGTGGTTGTAACACAGTACACATCCATACATACAGACAGACACACACAAGCATGGACAGACATCACTACAAAAACCACTTTTTTGGGTTCAGGGGGACTGAAAAAGGATATATCCACTCAAAACCAAAAACTAAAAACCATTTTGGGTTTACATTGTCACAGGAGTAAGAGTAAGTAAGTAAACACCACTACAGTGTGAATTCTTAGGAGAAATTTACCACACTCCACCCTATAGATTCATTATTTAAATTCTCTAAGATAACAATGTATATTTATTACTCACAAGACTACTGGTTGTGTCAACAGATTCCGCATGAGATCCTTCTTCCTGTGAACAAACAATGCAAACACACTGGTCAGATGTTTTGTTGTAGCAAACAATAAACGAAACACTGCTCAGGCTTTTACTTGGATTGTTGGCAAACTGTTTGATACTGAATCTTCTCATAGCTTAATCCACAGGCACAATTACAGTTTTTACTTTATTTAACAGTAACACACTTTTAAGTTCTCTGTAAAAATAATACTACTTCAGCATTTATAATCGTAAAACTCTTTAACTTCATTGCTTAACCCAACAATAACATTCAAATACAACACCACATTCAATCGACGCGTAATTCCATTGATGACAGTAACAGCTGAATAATCAAAGAAAACAGATGATCTACATCTCAAACAGTTTGACTGTCAGCTGTTTTTCCGATATTGTTTGGTTCAAAATACAAAGTGTATGAATTGATTATGGTAGTAAACAAATTAAATAATAGATCAATTGGATTTTGCATTTAAAAATGCAGCTTAACAAATTGAAATAAGTTTCACAGGAATAAATTACTAATTATTTACCTTCAACATATTTGATTGTTATATCCAGTAAAATTTGTAATAGTGCAATTAAATTTCTTAATTTTTATCATGAAAAAAAATACTAAAAATAGTCGTAGGCCTTTGCATAATTAATTGTGTGATGGCAAGGAAAAGTACAACATTAATTTTTAAATACAGTAATTAATTTACCTATCTTAGTTAAGTAGCAAGATAACAATCTTGTTTGTTTTGCCAAGTATTGTATGGACATCACTAATTAATTGATTCCACCAATTCCTTCAGTGGTGTTGACTATCTTTAACACTTTACAATATGTTTTTTAAATGGTTTCATTCTACCAACAAAAATGAACAATTCTATAAAATTATTCGTCCATTAGCACTGTTTCTAAAGTTACTAGGATTTTTCCCATTTCAAAACTCAAGTTGCAACGACGGATTACGTCTTGCTCATGACAGCTTCAGCACTTACATTCATCTTCTACTGACCACTCTCATTTATACTGTCCCGTCGATATACATAGCGGTGAATGCGGATAGCAACTTCATGATGTTGAGTGAAATTATTATAACTACCTTCATCATTATTCTAATCATTAACTGCTTTACTACCAACCATTTACTTCTACAAATCATCCATAAGTTTGAAAACTATGACAAGCTATTCATTAAATCTAATTATGCGGTAACGTCTAAAAGGTTTAAATATAGAGGATTTGTTTGTTTTCTTATGATACTATTTATTACTATGGTAAAAGAGACTGCAGTCGACTACATAAAGGAATACCCAGGTGATAATCTGTTCAGCAAGATGTTAGAATTTGTCTGGATATACTTGGCCCAGAACACAGCGTGGTTGACAATGTTGAGTGGGTTTTACGCTCTACTTTGCTGTGAGCTCTCTATCCGTTTTGAGGAGCTGCAACTATCCATTACATCTGATATGTCTATTAAGAGAGTGGAAGAAGTGAGACTGATGCATGGAAAACTCAAAGACATCAACCAAACTATCAACAGTTGTTTCGGCTTCCGAATCAGTCTCTTTTGTTTGTATTTCTTATACTCCTTCATACACTTGTTCTACAAAATGGTTGTTGGTACAAAGAACATAACTCCATCGACCTTCATTGCAGAAGCAAAGAAGTTTATCACTCTCTATGTGACTTGCTACAGCTCGGAATTCCCTGTTATTCAGGTAAGTATGGTTTTAACCACAGCCACCTCTTTAACTCTACACTATGACAATTCAGTCACTATACAGGGGAATAGCTTTACTGCTTTTAAACATCAATTACTAATTAGTGATGTGTCACTTGTCACTTGCTCAGTTCCCAATACAATCCGTAGCTAACTAAATAATACTTTTTTAAGTGGCAAATATTGCCATTGTGTGACTAAATAATATTCATCTTGTACAAATGAGTGAATTACATACTTGTGATTTAAAGGTGTATTTTTTTCAATGTAAGGATTGTGTATTTTTTTCAATGTAAGGATTGGGGGGGGGGATAATTTTAAAATTTGCGAGTTTTGGTGATAACAGTATATTTTATTGTTTGCAAGTATTTCAGTATAACTGTAGATTAAATTAACTTTATACTAGCTAGAGTGTCTAGCCAACCCAGAAACTGGGAAAACCAAGAATTGGATATGAACTGTTATGAGCAGGATAAAATCTGTGAAATGTATGGGAACTCTGTACAGGGTTGTAAATTTTGATATGCTGCCAATATGGTCTTTGACAATTTATTAGAACTAGACATTCCATTACATGTTAAAGCTGTCGCCACTGTTTTAATCAAAATTGTCGTAGTTGATGTGAGCTGCTGACAGATTGTGCGGATGTAAATTACAAATCTATGTCCAATACAGCAAACTTCTCAACAAGTCAAACTGATGACTTATTGTGAGCTATAGCAACTGGTATGAACTATGCCCGCAACAAAAAATAGGATAGAAAATTGGATTTTAGACACTAAGACATTCTTTGACTGGCACACTCAACTATTTTCTTTTTCAATAAATACAGGGTGCAGCCAAAAAACCGATCTATTTTCTGCAGAGCACTGTTCAGCGACAGGTCGTCCAAGAATGGTGGGAGTAGGCTCGTTGGAAAGCCTACACGATGCCATTTTTTGTAGTTATAACGCAGCGGTAGCCTGAGCTAGTGCGGTTGTTATGGAGTCGTTTTTATAAAATAGTGAATTCATTCATTGTTACTCAGCGGCAGTTTCATGCATTCTTTCAACTAAGGCGACATGGAGAAGTTCCGTTGCGTAGTACAATAATACGATGGGTTACTTACTTTTGGATAACGGCTTCTGCGTTGAAAAGGAAGCTGACAGGCCGTTTAAAGTCAGATCGGACGCCAGACAACAAACATTCGATAGAGTTAGTGCTGCTGTGGAAAACAGTCCTCGTAGGCCAGCCCGAAAACAAGCGGCTGCCTTGAACATGTCTGACCGCTCAGCTATACGAATTTTGAGGTTAATTTTCATCCCTATGGATTAGAATAATAAACTGTATAATTTGGTAATCATTCATACAGATAAACACAACGGAACCTCTGTATGCCGACCTAATTAAATAAAAGCACGGAACTGCCGCTGAGTTGCAATGACTAAATCATTACTTTTTAAAAACGACTGGATAACAACCGCACGTAGCTCACACAACCACTGCTCTACGACTACAAAAAATGGCATTGTATAGACTTTCCAACGAGCCTACTCCTACCACCCTCAGACGACCTGTCGCTGAACAGTGCGCTGCAGAAAATGGATCGGGTTTTTTGCCACACCCTGTAATTGCCGACAGCTGGTCCATATAGAAGAGATGTGTAGGCCTATTTCAGGGTCACTTTTGGTATTTTAATTTTTTTTTAATGACCTTCACACCCTAAGACTTAGACTCTAGCCCAGAACTGTTTTACACATTACTTCAGGCTAGGACTAGAGCGTTGTGGCATTACCACTTAGATTGTTCAGTCACGTTGCCTTTGTGTTTTTTGTATCATTTTAAATGTCTCTGTTTCTAACAGTCATCTGTAATTCTCATCACATGACCATTTGTAAATCTCCATAGTTGCATTCATTCATCGCGAATCACCTCTAATACAAACATGTACCCATTTTAGCGAATTTCCCTATAGGGAAGTAGCTATCACCGTAGGTGGCACAGTAAAACCTAGGCCCAGCCACGATTTACTTTTTTTATACAGATAATTTAGTATATCAAAGTGTTTTGTTCGGTTATTATTAACGGAAAAATTAAAAAAAAAATTAATTAAAATTAAAATGTTGTAGTTTGCTTGTTTATGGATATATTATGATAAAACTTGGTAAATTTATTTATTTTATACTAAGCTATTATGTAATAGTTTACTAAAAAAAACACACTTTATTAGTTTCCCTGTGGCAACAAACCTAGGTACTCGTTAAACCTAATGTTATTTAAATAGATTTAATTTAAAATCAATTAGGGCAGATGGAAATTCGCTTAGTCAGCAGGATTGCTGCGGCGGGGGTATTTTCTCTCTTAAAATAAACCTCTTTCATATTAAACCCCTCAATTTTTCCTGTCTTTTTATTTAAATACACCGCACATAGAACAAATCCATTGGTGATCTACCACTTTACCAGTTCGTTCACAGACTGTTGGTATGAATGCATTCTTCATGTAAGTAAAATAACAATAAAAGTAACTTGGTAGGTTAGGTACCAAAGAATGGAACAATGTATCTGCCACTACTCTAACAGCCACATTCTCAGTCACTCCCCGATATCGCAGCATGTTATTATCATTGTCAGTCCTAGCTGCCAATAGGCCTGTGTCTGTCGGTACTCAAGTACCAGTACGGCCATTTTAACATAGGTTCTTTCTTAGTATCAAGTACTTTTCTCAAGAGTTGGTCAGTACGTTACTAAGAATTTACTTAAGGTATCATCACATCATTAATATTAATATAGGCTAAAGATATAGTTGAGTACAGTTAACACTCTGTCATTACAAAAGGTTTGCCACTGTAAAAACAAGAATCACTCACTATGGTTAAATTAAACAATTGGTTAATATTCTATGTACGTTCCTAGCTAAGGATCTAAGTAAGGATCTAATTTACAGAACAAAAGATTGATACGGGAACTACAAGCTTTGCCAAAGAATAAAATGACTCCGGCCTGTAAGTTCCAGGTAAATTAGAATAAATAAATGTACTAATCATAGATCAACTATAAACTAACAAGGTTAAAATTACGAGTTGAGATTCTTATCATTCTGATTCAGGTAAGATAATCATGCCTTTCAAAGGAACAAACCACTTTTAATATGACAGTAACAACCAACTAAATTGTATTCACAATATACAAAATTATATATAATTTTTTTGTGAATACGTTTGTTCAAAGCCTATATTCATTACAACCTACCTAATAATATTACCATTCTTATATATTTCAATTTTTTTCCATTTCAATTTCTTTACTCACTAAGAAGTATA